GTTGGACAGTATGGTGGGCGCTATCACTATATCTGAAATCGTCATCGTAAGAACCGTGTTCAGCGGCGGACTCGTTTCAACCCGTGTGGATTTCATTGACATTGACATGTACACTGAAGGTGCTCTTGATTTTTTTTTTTAATTTGTTTATCTTTTTTTTTACCCCCCCCTTTTTTTTTCCTTTCCACCCCCTCCCTTTGGGCCCCCCATTTAAAAAACCAAAAAAATTTTTTTTTTTCCCCCATTTTTGGCCTTGGGCTTTTGGGGGCCCCAAAAAACTTTTTTTTTTTGTGGTTTTTTGGGACCTTTTTTCTCCTTTTTTTAAAAAACCCCAAGTGGGGAATCAAAAAAATTTTAAAAAAAAAAAGGGGAAAAAAAAAAACAATTTTCCCTTTTTCTTCCTTATAAATTGGAAAGGGCCCAAAAAAAAAAAAAAAATTAAATTTTTTTGCTTTTTTTTTTTTTTTTTTCTTTCTCTTTTCTGAAAAATCTTGTCCAAAAATTTTGTTTTAAAAATTTTATTTTTTTTTTTTCTCTAAAGGTTTTTTTTAAAAAAAAAGTTTTTTTAAAGGGAGCGCTCCGCTACAGAGTACGTTATTTCTATGAAAGTAATATAGAAGAAATAACGATTTATGTTTTTGTGTGTGTGAACGAGATTTCACAAAAAGTCAAGCGGAGATATATAGATATTCTTAAAACAAAATAAACAGTCAACGGAAGCACACGGGATTAAAAATTTTTCCCCCCCGTACTATTTTTGTCACAATAAAATTAGTCTAACAACTTTATATTATTATTCTTAACCAATAGTAGATTAAAGATGTCTAGAGATCAGAAATTTGATGTGTCTATAATACTAGATTTTTATTTTCTTGTTAGAAGAGGAGGAATTCCTTTTTGAGATTAAACACAAAATTATGCAACAACCAATAAAAATGCAATTTAAGCTAATTGGGCGCAGGAGCGTTGGGGGATTGAGTTGAACCTGGGCCATGTGTTTGCGGCAGCGGCCACGGACACGCCCTTCAATATTACGTGCGAGCGATTAGCACAAGGCGTGTTTAATTGGCACCATGTGATGAAATGATAGTCTGGTAAAAAATTGGCACTTGTTAACCAATACTTTAGAAAGCAAAAAGATATTTCTCGGAGGAGGTGGGAAAAAAATTTTCTCCCCCCTTCACAGAGAGATTGTTTTCTGTTTCATACAACAATACCCGCAAACAGATTAATTAAAAATTCCTTTTGTAAATGAAACAAAAAATTACGTTCTCTATACACATTACAAAATATAAAGGCCACAATCTTTTTTGGATTCCCCGCGCGTCCTTTTGAGCACTTGGATCTTTTTACTCGGCCTCTTATTTTCTTATAAACGCCTTATTCAATAGTCGATAAAATAGCACAAAAAATATATTAAAAATCAAGACAAGCCATAATTATCGAGTGTCAGTACTGAAACACAATATTTGAAAGAACTCGATTCTCGTAGAGCAAAATAATACCACATAAGCAGAAAGGGCGTCTCGTTACATTTAATCCCTGAGCGGTTTTTTTCCTGGGGGGAAAAAAAAAAAAAAAAAAAAATTTGAAAAAATCCAAAAATTTTGGATTAAAAAATTTTTTTTTTCAGTTTATTTAAAAAAAACAAAAACAGGGCCAAAAAGGCTTTGAAATTCCATTTTTTTTAAAATGGAAAAAAAAAAGAAAAAAAAAAAAAAACAACCCTTTTCCCAAAACCTTGCGGTTTAAAAAAAATTTTTTTTTTGGGAAATAACAAACGCAAGAGGAAGGTCACCGAAAATGAATTATTGAATATATTGTCAAAGGCCAAAAATTCTGTAAAATATGGCCGATTTCTTCCTTTCTCTTGTTTTTAGGAAGAGATTTGTGTTTTAAGAGTATCGGTGGTTCCAAATAGGTCTTTTTTTTGTAGTTCTAGGTGAGTTTTACACGTGCCTACCGTTAAAGATTCTGCTGAGTTTCATTACCACCCGAGAGAAAACAGTAAAAAAAAGAGCAGCAGAGGACATGCTATTGTGTGAAAAATTCACTGAAATAGGGGGGCCGCTAAAACTAAACTTTAAAAAAACATCCCTTTCCGTTTTGAGTCCCCACAACACGACTTCAGAATACATTTCCATATTGGATAATGAGAACTTCATGACAGCATCTCAATTTACATATCATTCTCGCCCTAAGCGTATTTTCTATTTATAATTCTCTCAAAACTCTTATTTGACAAGATCTTCAAACACAGTAATCTCTGAACAGCTAAGCCACCCAGAGCTTGCCATTCTTATGTGAAGCAGGAAATCGATATGATCACATCTTTTTTACTCTCATTTATGGTGAGCTTCTCTGAGGTTTTAGACCATAGGGCATATAGCAATTTTTCTTCTTTTACCCAAAAGATTTCCCATTTTTAATTCATTCTGCACTGTGCCGGAGAATGACCAAAAGAAAGATTTATTTATAACTTATGTATCAAAATATTTTAAAAAAGAGCGAACCACACTATGGAAAAAAAATAAAAAAAAAAAATTCTTTTTTTTTTGGGTGATATGGCATTCTCTAAATTTATACATGATTCCTTGATTATGTGTATTACGTGAGTTGTGTTTTGAATTTTATCTTTTACTGGATTCAACGCTTTGGTTGTCGGTAATACAGAGATAGGATTCTATTTCACTATGGAGAAATGCTGCACTTCCTGTTTTGTTCTCAAAAAAAATTCTATCATGTAAGTATATATATTTTAATAACGGACTAACTCTGTGTGTTTTTTTATGAATAAAATACTATCAAATGGCTTTATATTGCTTCATGGACCGTCGCGCCCGATGCTTTGATGTGAAAAATTTTCTTGGAGACACCATCGTTGTCTTATCACAATTTTTTAAAAAGATATGGATTATTGTTTAAGATAACACTTGAAAAGATGTTATTATGGAAACAATTCATCCGCCCGCGTCTACGAAAAAAACACAAAGTCAAAATAGAGGCAAGTGGGACAAGAATAAAAGGCCTATAATGGGGAATTTAACAAGCTCCATTACAACAAGAACGCGTGAAACTGCAGGTGAGTGGAAGTTATATATGAAAATGTAGCGAACAAGAGGTCATAAATGCAGAAGATAATAAATATAGCAATAAAAGAGACCTTTTGTTGTGGGATGAAAAAGAATAGAGCGCACAACATAGTGCACAAACCGAAAAGCTTTCTACATAATAGGAATATAAAAAAAAACAGGAAGTAAGCGCTGCATAGCGACTTTGGTCAGATTTACTTGAAATTTTCATGTTGTGGTCGGCACGTGTTACGACGGCACGTGACGCGGCCGCAGCACGCCCCGAGTTGCGTGGAGTGCGAGGGCCCGCCCAACGCTGCTTGCAGCTTTAATTATTATTATATTGTGTAAACACCTTCTCATCCTAGGTCACCAAATACCAATGCTGTTTTGTCACACTCATCGTCATCTCATACAAAAGCACAAGGTAACCTTTAGTGTCTGTATGAGACACCCTTTTAACACGTGGTTAACTTTGGGAAACGGTTGCAGTTTTGTTACATTTGTGCAACAAAACTACTTGGTTAGGTTTAGGAAAAAAACATAATTAGGTGAAAATAAGTCATGTGAAGCATGTCACATGAAAATCTTGTGTTGTTGATCAGTATGACTTCAAGTGTCCAATGCCAGGAAGTGATGCAATGCCTTGTATCCAAAAAAACCTTGTAGACACATAGCATTACATTACGTCACCTGACGTGGGTGGGTTACACTGAAGTTAGATGCAGCCTACTGCCTCTCAAACAGACACTAAAAGAGTACTTGTGCGTCTGTGTTGAGACTCCAAGAAGTGTGACAAAATGTCAGTATTTAATGCCCTGGGGCGGACTGATTATGTGACCAGAGAGCCTGATTAAACCACTGTTTTTCTCGCTGTATGGTGTCTGCCTGTCTTCATAGGATCTAGTTAACAAGGTAGTGTCACAACGAGCCACCAAGGAGCAGCTCCTCATTGAGGTAACGCAGTATAAAGAACTAATCAGGCAAGAAGCCGAAACCCTGGCTGATCTGGAGGTCCAATACACCGAACTGAAGTTCAGTGAGAAACCTGCAACTACATGGTACTGTCATTGAAGCTCTGCTACACAGCTGTTATCCACTGTTGAAACATCATATTGAAGTGTCATATTGAGTATCATAGTCAACCTTTCTTGTCACTAATTGTAAATATCACAATATATGTTAGTTGTAGAGTCAAAATGTGGCTCTCAGATGGTCACCTACTGTACTATATCTCAGACTTTAGTACACCACCTTTCATTCAAAAACAATCTATATTATCTATATATGTAGATAAATTTAAAATGAATCCGTTTTGAAAATAGAGTAATTGTTAATGAAATGTTGTTGAAAAGACAACCAAACTTTAAAGATGGTTAAAAGATAAGTGACACATAGTCGGATGGGCTAAGTAAACGGTCAGCTGATGCGCTATGAGGGCAGGGATCATTGGAAATGCAGTTTTAAATTTTAGACAGTTCAAAAAAATGTGCCACGTAAAAAAAATATTGTTTTTGGAAATGTTTTAAAAACCTTATTTATGTTTATTCTGAATATAATACTTAAAGTATATACACTTTTAGATCTAATACTAGGATAGGTTACTTTAACTCTATAAGCAATAATTATTGATAGGTAAGACATCAACCCAGTCTGCTCTAGATGCTGGTCTTGTCAAATGCTGTGAGACATCAATGTGGACCACCACATCTGTCTTTTAACTCACTTGGCAGGTAGTAGTTTAATGCCCCTGGCTGTGTGGAGGGGTTGATAATGAGGGTGATGATTATTTGAAAGCATCTCTGTGCTAGCAGCTCTGATAAGGCTGCTTGTGGTTGAATTGAAGATTTATCAGTCTGGCACAGCGAGGACAACATCCTCTTGTGGGTTGATTGGGCCTGATTGATGTCTTTGCTGATTTCTCCTGAGATATTTTCACATCCCCTCTCCCAGCACCTCAGGCCATTCTCACAGTGTTTCACAGTGACATATTCAATATCTGTTCCGCTTGTTGCACTCTTAATCTTCTTAATCTTCTTAAATAGATGGGACAGGGACAGTTTGTGCTGAAGAACTGTGAGACAGCTTCAAATGGGGCCATTGAAAGTTGAATCATGTACTGCCCACTGTGGCATTTTAATACCGTGTTTTGCTTTTATTACATAAGGAGAGAGGGGCTGTCTCAAAAAACCTCCATCTGTTTATCTCAAGGTTTGACAAGCTGAAAGAACAATTGCAGGCATGGCTGAATCAGGAAGTGGACCGTGTTCAACGACTGCAGGCCGAGCTAAAGCAGTCTCAGGATCTGTTGGACAGTGTTGAGTTCGGGGTCAACAACTTCTACTTCAGGATGAGCTGTGTAGCCTTGGAGGTCAGTACCAAAAACTGTCTTCTCTAAACTTTATCCTTCAAAGATTGCTTCAGGATGGACCATATTTGTGTTTACTACTGTCAGTAAGGGACAGACTCAGATTCTTCTAAGTCTGTCTTAAAGCTGTATTAATAATAACTTGCTAAAATAGCTGCAGTAGGTAACTTGCGTAAAAATAACTTTTGTCATATTTGCTGAAACTTTCAGTATATCATGACAGTAAAAATTGTTCCTCTGTGGCGCCCGGTTAGCTCAGTGGGTAGAGCTGGCGACCCATGTACTAAGGCTGAGTCCTTGCTGCAGCGGCCCAGGGTTCGAATCCAACCTGCGGCCCTTTGCTGCGTGTTATCCCCTGTCTCCAGCTGTCCTATCAAATAAAAGCATGTTCCTCTGGTTTCTCTGTAGCACTCCTAATGGCATTCACAAGAATCCACTGGGCCTGAACAAAAGCAACTACCAAACCAAGAAAGATAATTGATGAGTGTAATCCCCAGGGTGTCAAATACGGACGCCTTGGAACCCTGGGAATGAGAGTCAACAATCAACTATCTCAGAGCACCTAACTCAGAGCCTTGCCATGTCTTTCTCAGCTCTGATTGGTTGTTTTGTCCAGGCCCAGTTGATTATTGCAAATGCCATTAGAAGCGCTAGAAGGTGTATGTGCCATGTACTACTGTCATGGCACAGTGAGAATTTCAGCAAATATGACAAAAAGTTATTTTTATAAAAGTTACCTACTGCAGCTTTTATACCGTGCTCACATGCCATATGTACCTTGAAAAAGTCAAAGCTTGCTGCTTAGTTTTTTCCTCTCCATACTCGCTGTGAAGCAATGCCTTCATTGTGCGGCTATAGTGTTACAAGCCCAAAGCTGTGCCACAGATCAATACTACATAGTAAATACATTACATACTAACTGTCATGATGTATAGTGTATACTGTTTTAGCAATTACAAGAAAATCAACATATACACATGAAATACATAGTACAAATACAATACAAACTGCGACTTTCAAATGCCACGTTTTAATGTCTTCATAATTAATACTTAAATTTTTGTTTAAGATCATCCACAATTTTAGAATTTTTCTTGGTGTGAGGAGGCCTTTGTGCATTGCACTGTGGGAGTATAAATGAATGGATGTGTTGTGTCTGATTAGATTATGCTGGAGTCTACATCCATACTAACAGCTCTGTGAGGCTATAAATCATGTAAATGCTAGCATCAGCATGCTAACATATTTAGAGTAATAATGCTAACATGCTACTGTTTAGCAGATATAATGTTTACCATGTTTCACTATCTTAGTATCTTAGTTTAGCATGTCAGCTTGTTTTTGGATGAATTGCCAAAACGTTCATACCAACATTGGTGGTTCCCAGAACATAGATTCTACTGATTTGGTTGATCCTCTTACCTTTCCTCTAAGGCAACCAACAGGTTTACAATTTTGGCTTTTGGATTCTAAATATTTTGACAACTCACCAAAACTTTCACTCCTCTTCAGGAGCTGCCCAGTGCATTCAGTACTGACAGCTTAGACAAACTAAGGGATATCAGCGCCCGTCTACCAACATTACAACAAAGAGCATTAGAGAAGGAACCTGAGATTAGCGGCCTGGACCAAGATAAGGTGCTACAATTCACCAATACTTTCAATTTTCTTTCACTGGGGGTCTGACCAAAGCTATTTTCACAGGACAAGACAGGTTGATGTGTTTAATCTAATATTTTGTGTTGACGTTATAGTTTTCTAAACGTTGGTACTTTATCATTGATATTAATAGTTATGTATCAGAGCTACCAATACACAGATTTTGTATAGCTTCTTAAAATCTTTAAATTTTACTATTTTCTTTATCAGTTACCACTTATTAAGTTAATGTAACTATATATATATATATATACACTATATATGTATAGTGAAAGTTTCAGCAAAGATTACCTACTGCAGCTTTAACCAGTTACATGAGAAGATTGAGCTACAGTATTTATAAAATAATGTTTTTGCCATGTTCTCAAATGTGTCTGTTAATTTGTACGTATCTGTCCCATCAGTTGTTCATAAGATTTAAGTTTTCTTCTTGTAGCTTATAATGTTGAAATTCTTGTTGAGCTGTGATCTTGAGTCTGTTGTATCTGGTTAATGTGTTAACCCTCATAACCTTTGCCCCCTGCCTCTTTCTTCCTTAGGTTTATGATTTGTTAGAAGAGCTTAACATGATGGAGTTGAAGAACAACAAGAGACCAACCACCCCTATAGGTGAGTCTTACAGAACCGGATGCATCCAAGTATGGACTGAAGAATTGAGGCAAACAACATACTGGACTAAAATAGTGGAATGGGTTAGGGCACTGAGGCTTATGCATTTTGTCCTTAAAAAAGATACAAAACTGTGTTTCTCCGCTTTGAATCTCCTCTAACCTGCCTGATAGACTTCTGGCTTGCTGCCACAAAGTTGATCTGTGCTGCTTGACTCAAGCAGGTTGCGGTTCTGTCAAAAATAGATCAGACACATATTCAAGTATATAATCTATTTATTCTACGTGGAGCAGAGTGGAGAGACGCTTCTGGGATGCACTGCGGCTCTCCTGATGGAATTTAAAATGTGAAAAAGTATTTAAAGAGCAGCCATACAGGTTAAACAAGTACACTACCTGGTGGAAAAGTCAAAGTGTGCAGAGTTTATCTAAGCTTTTAGGAAGCTAGGATGCTTCTGGAATAAAAATGTCCTATATTGCAAGTAAGTTAGGATAGGAACATTGTCTTAGCAACTTTAGCTTTTTTCTAAATCACATCAGATAGGATCTGCAAATGTCTGTAATACTTTGGTGGTTGTGAGGTCCTCTTTATTTTATGGGGTGTAGGAACTATTTTGTTATATATAAAGTATTTCTGAGATCCAGTGTGTAACATTTAGGAGGATCTATTGTTGTTGTGTTTTCATTACCTTAGAACTACAGAGGAAGCAGGTCCTCTTCCACAGAGTCCGCCATGTTGAAGCACCAAGTAGCCCAGAAGGGACAAAGTGAACACTGGCTCTAGATAGGGCCTTTTGTGTTTATCAAGAGTTTTACCGTAGTTCCGCCTACACCAGTGGTAGACAACCTGCGGCTCTTAAGCCCCTCTCCTGTGGCTCCCTTTGACCTACAGTGATTCTTACATTCTCGTGATAATCATGAATATCTTCACGTCTTGACTTGAAAAAGCTATCTAGCTCTGCAGCATGCAGATTTCCTCATTTATTTTGAACAAGGGGGCAAGGGGGGGCCCACATTTTTGTCATTCCAAAATCCTAATCCTGTCACCATGGCAGAAGGCTCAGCCTGCCCATTGAAACAGTATATAAAATAAAATAATAAGATTCCAAAATAAAGAGCAGGGAGATGTGGTGTCTGTGTGATGCAATAAATGTGTTTCTTAACTAAATGTAAAGTAAAGTGATTCCAGTATGTGCCATTTTCAAAGTATATTTTCCTGATTATTGTGCTATATCATGTATCACCAAGATAATCAAGACATATGCTCCCATGCCTAGTCTTGACCAAGAATCTGCCTTCCTTTCTCAAAACCCATCTTACAGGCACTCCCCAGCTTAGTGATGATGAAGAAGAGTGCTCTCCATCCCGCGAGGAGATCAAACGACGCAGCATTAGACTGATTGAATCCAGGCAGAACAGGAGGTCCGCGAGGAAAGCCTGCAAGAAGTAGTAGAGGGACAGACCACACAGTGGGTAGAATCAGGCTTGTGAAATAAACAAGAAAACAGCAGGAGTTTTCTGCTTTTGTTGACTGCTTGTTCATTTGCCACTGTTACATAGTGTATCTTGGGCTTCTATATTGAGCAATAGAGCTTATTTTGTATGGCTCAGTTAGTTTTATTAAACTAGCCTCTTGAATATATGTGAATTATTTGACTTTACAGTTTTAACAGTTAAAGCCCCTCAGTGAACATACGTGTATTCTGTAGTAAGTAAAGCATCCTTAGGTGTAAACTTAAAAATTGCAGAGCATCTCTTGAACCACAGGGAGGGAGCATTGTGCAACTAATTTAAGACAACAGATGCAGATGTTGAACCTGGTGTTTCAGTTTTTCACTGCATTGAATCCCAGCTAAAGTGAAAGTGAGTCTGGCACGGAGAAAGTCTGCCTACATGAAAATGAACATATTATTTGCTAATCAGATCTCATCTGGGCCCATCTAGACAAAAAGGCAGACCTTTCACCGAAGTACTGACAAGGAGTTGGAACATTTGATTTAGCACTACAGTATTTTACGACCTAGAATGCAATCAAAAAAATAATACACCACACATTAAGCAGCACAGTAATTTATCAGTGAATTTAAATAATTTTAAAATGGTTCCTATTAAATAATGCTGTCAAACAGAGACTGGTTCTCAAATTATTAGAATTATACAATAGCACTAAGAAAAAAAATTTACAATGAATGCAGAAGTCAGTATTTAAAATTATGTAAATAAGGAATGACTTTTGAAAACTTTCCTGTTATTTATTGAATATGCTACATACAATGTTTTATTTAAGACATCCACCCCACATTTCTCTTGTATCAAGTTCACAGTCTGACTTGCACAGTCACCATAGCCGCTGTCCATTGGCATGATTACACATAACTAAATATACCAACCAATCTCCCAAAGCACTATTGCATGCTGACCTACGATTACAGCCTGATGAGGGACTTAAATGAAAGTGGTCAGGTTAACAATCAGTAGCAGATAACTGTTACTGGGCTGTAGAACACTGGCCAGAAATAGAAAAATGTTCCACTGAAAAACTACACATTACTGGTTTTACTGACTGTTAAGATACGAGAGATAAGCAGTGTCCATTACGGAGTTATGCTGAAAAAGGTATTTTAAATAACAAATATCATATTTAATAGGAATTCTTCTGAAAACTAAGATTGGACATTGGATAACCCTTTTTGCAGTGTGTACCTTGGTCACCAGTGTGGATCTAGGACATGATGTGACTAGAGGCCATTTCTTTTGTTGATGTCAGGCGCTAGGCTGATATGGAAGGAGATGACAGGCATGTAAAAAGCCACTTCAGACAGATGAAAAAAAAAGAGTGGAATAAAATGTTGTTTTTTAATACATTGAGAAAATCTTTATTACTAAGTGAGATAATATATGTCATGTTTTGATCTGTTGTCTCAAATCGTTTGGGGGGCAAAATATCTCATTTCAAGCTTTAGTGTTTTGTTAGCATTAGTTAAGTTGAGCTGTGGCTCAGAGGTAGAGAGGGTCGACTGCTTATCAGAAGGTTACCTGCTGCCCGTCGAAGTAATTGCTCCCAATGCTATGAATTGAGGAGTGTATGAATGTGTTAGTTCCTTTGATGGGCTTTGCCATCTTTGTGTAAATGGATGAATGGTGTTAAAGCGCTTTTAGTGGTCGGAAGACTTGAAAGGCGCTATACAAGTACATTTACCATTTAATTCTTTCAACCTGACATATTCCATTGACAGCAAGATGGTTTAGATCCCATTCATTCAGTTATACAATAAACAAGTACTCACAATGGTCATTAGACTAACACTCTTGTGTTTTCCTAATACCTTTTTATCTACAGAAGTATCAGGTCCTCTTCTGTGGAGTCGACCATGTTTCCACAGTAACCCAGAAGGGACAAACTAAACACCGGCTCTAGACAGGGGCATTAATGTTTCTTGCAAGTTTTGCTGCCATTGTAGTTTCTCCTACATGCTTGCAATGGAAAAGTGAGGTGAGGATGTTGTAATCCTACACAGGTGCTTTCAGAGTGTATGACATGTGGTCACCGCGGTGGCTCCAAGGTTCCTCTGATCCTGCCAGTCTGTACGACACAGGCTGCATTCAGGGAACTCAGATACAGTAAAATCAGCTCCTGTATGATTTTCCATTTTGTGGTTGCCATGGTCACACGGCAAACAGCAAGTTGAAAAGGTTGAACCATCATAGACTCTTATGACAGCAGCACAAAAGCTGTGCACTTAACAGGTTGTGTTGGAGGTGCTGCAGTACTTCTTTTGAACTGTTTTAGGCCCTTACACTCTTTTGGTCTTTAAGTCTTATGACCATTACTCTTTAACTCTTTTGATCTCTAACTCTTTTGACCATTACTTAGGCCTTAGGCCTAGTCAAGACTGCACATTAATATTGGCAAAAAGCCTCTTACCTTTAGTTGCGGCAGTCGTCTCTTTTCTTCCAACAGAACAACCCTGTCCCCAGATAACCATTCTCAAAGTTGTATTAGGATATGTACCATACTATACTGGCAGCAACAGCTGACTGGTTTATTACACAGAACCACCTGGGACGTCATCCCTGGAAACTGTTTGGGCAGGCCCTCAAAATACTCAGCAGGGGATTGGATGAACCATCTGTCTGTCCCCGTTTATCACAGGCAAACTTCAACCAGATTAATTAACCATTAAAAGGTTAATCAAACTCTTACTGAAGCAGCTGCCATTGTTGTTTAACAGTGTCTTCTCGCTGCATCACACCAAGTGCCCACCCCCATAGCTGCCAGTGTTTCCTCAAAGGACGCTGATTGTAGCTTGCTTCGCAAGATTAGTCTGAAACCACTTTTAGAGTCTGCAGCCATGGGACTAGATCTGTGAGGCTGTGGTGCAGAGGCAGAGCGGGTCGCCACATGTCAATAATCCTTGACCAAGATACTGAGCCCCAAATTGCTCCCGCTGTGTATCGGTGTGTGAATGTTTATGAATGAGTTAAATTCTTTGCCATCGCTGTGTGAATGTGTGTGAAAGGGCGAATGTGACATGTAGTGTAAAAGCGCTTTGAGTGGTAGGACGACTAGAAAGGCGCTATATATTATCCATTTATTATATCCATTTACCATTACCATTTATTGAGTATTAAATGCTAATGTCAGCATCCTAACATGCTCACAGTGACAACATGCTGATGATTAGCAGGTATAATGTTTTTAATTGGAGCGTCTTAATGGACTTATTGTGGCAACCTGATAATAAGGGGAGTTGCGGCAGTATAATCAGCTGATGTAACAACATGGCGATGGGATCTAGTTTTGCTGCATTCTCGCTCCTCGTTGGACCGAGCTTATGGTTCTAATTTTTGTTCGTGGATACTACGCAAATGGAAAAGAGCTGAGTCTGGAGTGTTGCGTTATAATGTCGGGGATTAAAGGAATGATCAAAGCATAAGCTCAAGATCACTGACACGTGGTGCTTGGAGGCCAAGAGGTAATACGTCTAGGCAGCAGTTCCACTATTCTCGCTAAACAGTGTTCTCAGAGGTGTTTGGGGCCGCTTACTTAGAACTTAAGAGTTGAAGCTGGTAGAGTGTCAATTGCAGCTGCACCACGGTTTTTTATGTCCTTAAGACAGTGGGTTTGTAACTTAGATAACTGATTTAATTTTCATTCGGGCTTGGGAATCAACAGGTATTAACTGGGGATATCATCTGCGTCTAACAGTGAAAGGTTGAATGTTTAACGTGGGATTTTTAATAATATTGCTATGGGCAGAGGTGTCAATACTTACCGGGCCCACAAGGAGAGGTTCACATCTGGCTCCCGAGCCAGGATGACTTTGCCAAAGTGTGGATAACACAACGGAGAAGCAGCAGTAAGACTGAAACTATGGCTAAATTTTTTTTGCCTGGGGAGAACCAAGACACTAAACAGCCAGATGGCAACGCAATGCGGGCATATCTGGTTTGTCTTTTTGGCGGGCTTCAGTAAACTATACGCCTCTGGCGGCACCAATATTCCGTTTATAAGGTTAGGGGTTGCTCCTTTAAGAATAGGAGCACTTTTTGCTTTATGGTGGCGGAGCCGGTCATGCAACGTGTGTCGGTTTGGTTTTACGACGTCACGGATCGAGCTGAGGCGCGAGTGGGTGTTGGTGCAGACGAGGTGTGACGTTGAACAGCAGCAGGCACATTACGTCCCCAGCTCAACGGCCCTCTCCGACCAAGTATCCACCCAACCCTCACTCGGAAGAGACATGGTTTGCCTAAGTCAGTCAATTCAGGATATTAGCAGTTTGTTACCCGACCGCGGCGCCATCCATATTATAGTTTCGACGGCTCTGAGAGTGGGATGCCCCACTTAACGCATGTGGTCCCTTTGTTAAACAAGGTTATTTATTTGTACGCAGAGCCTCTTCACACAGGAATTTCCAACCACCAGAAATGGGCAACATGGTGCTGGTGCTAACCCATTTCGCGAACCCACAACCTCTCACATAAAACAGCCGATCTTATCCACTGACGGCTTCCTTGCCACTTTAACGGCTTAAAACAAAGGCATGAAACAACAAACCGCTCTCTGCGTTAACTCACAACTAAACACCAAGGCCACGCCACTCCCCTTACCCGCCTAGTTCGATGACTGCAACCATAACGGTCGACAGCCCCCCGGGGGTGTCGCAACACGACCCTGCAGTATTAAAGTAAATCTGGCCACCCGGTGTTTCTGAGGGAGAGGACACCAGCAACCCACACTAAGTCACTTACCTCATGCAGCTAACATGCACTACACACACATTTCCACTCCAACACATCCCAGTCGCTGATCTACGACGGAGTGGGCAACGAGGCAGGCTAGATCACAGGACATGAGAGCTGCTTTGCCGCAGGCAGGCCTGAGGGCTCTATTTGACACGCGGACCCCCACCCCGCCGGGACGCCTCACGGGTCTTGCTGGCAGCTTCTTGTGCGGATTGGAGGACCGGTGGGGCGCCTAGAGCATCGCA